AAACGCGCGAAGCGCCAGGAGCTCTCAGAGGAATCGTGGTGGGAGTATATAGGCCTTAGGAGACTCTCTTAGGCTTGGGCCGAAATTCCAGTTGCAGGGGTTTCAGGTATAGGGGTTCAGAGGTTTGGGAGCTGGGGGGGTTAGGGGGGAGGTTTTAGATTCAGGGTTTCACGCTTCAGGGGTTTAGAATTGAGGGGTCAGGGTTTAGGCTTGATCGTTTTTGATTGGGGTTCGATCTTCTATACTTACTTTTAGGGTTTGGGGTCAGTGTCGGGTAGCCGCTTTATGGACATTGCTTTGCGACCCTGGCAAGACATGGCTTTCGCCACGAACGGATGTGTCGGTGCATGCGAAGTAATACTTGCAAAGGAGACACAGTGTGTTCATATCGGCGAGTAAGCTCCGCAATCGGGGACCAATTAACATTCGATTCCCTCGAGGGATTAGTAGACTAGGTCCCCTAGTATGGCCGCAATGCACGTTAGGTCCCCTAGTATGGCCGCAATGCACGTTGCATTCGGGTCCTCTCTGTGCAGCCTGATTGTTACGATGTTACTGAACCTAGGAGAATAGATCAAAGCCGTGCTTGAGCGCCTGCTGGATCTAAGCCGAAGTTTGACAAGTCATGTTCGGTTGTACATGCTGAGTGAAATTTGCAGGGCTAGAAACGCAAAAATCTTCGGATGCTCCGGGGGAGTCGAGCGCATGAGGCTTGAGGGTTTAAGGTTGATATTAGTTCTCAGGCTTCTTACCGTTTAGGGTTTGTCTTAGCTCTTTGGCTTCTTATTTCGTGTGTTACTTCCTAGGTTTCTTAGGGTTTAGAGTTTATGGTCTAAGTCTATCGAACGACCCTACGCCTCAGATCAGGTCGAATGCCACGGAGTCCATGATGCGGAGAACGTGGCACTAGCCAGCAGGCAGTGGAACGTCCAGCTGCTCGGATCATGAGAGACCTAAACCCCAACGCCATAAAAACCCAGACCCTAAAACCTTGAGACGTCGATGCCTACGAGCCGCTATCCCGCAGGTGCAGGCTCTCGGCGCGCTTCACGCCACGGTGTCACCAAGAGGAATGACTGGACACGGCTGTGACACCAAGGTAACCTCCGGGTGTAGGCGTCGGAGTGATACTACCGGGCCTCGACTATGACAGATATGATATGAGACATACCTATACCTACATTCAATCCTTACTTTGAAACCCAATAAAGCCCAAGGCCCTAATTAATGTCAACCGCAGCGGCCGGTGAAAGAGCAAAGTTCGGGGCGCTTGGATTTGCTTTGAAGGCCTTTGGGCTTATAGGCCTTCGGGGCTTAGGACTTGCTGCATCCAAAACTGGATGGTGACAGCGAGCGTTGCTGGGTTCTTGTTTCAAAGTGAGCATGCGATGTTATGCCGATGTTCGGGGCTGTCCGTAGGGCTTATAAGGGTTCTATACGGGTTCTATCAAGGTTCTGTACGGGATTCAGGGTTTTGTTCCAGAGCTTCGTCTAAATCGCCAGAATGCAGAGAGCATGTTTATTCATTCACTGCACAATCTGTCAGGATAACTTCGGCTACGAAGTGTTTCGGGCTTACGGCTCAGTTCCCGAACAAGAACCCGCATTGGCTGGCAGACAGCCAAGAAGAGAGATTGCAAGACACAAGAAAAGCAAGTGACCCCCGTGCGGTAAGTTGCAGTCAAATCACTCTCTACGTGATCAAGCAGGACAGTCTGGGCCACAGGCACATTCCATGGATTCCCGACAGAGCTTGGGATGGGGATCATCTTGAATGTGATGCTGATGCAGCTATTACATTTTGAGGCTATTATCACTTACTCAGCCATCATGAGGCTATTATTCGATCGGCGCTCATTCAATACATGACATGACATGACGAAAGAATCAAAACGCAGCCATTCCCCCGCCTGCATTGATACCCAACATACCAGTCTACGTATATTACGCTGTATCATAAATTCATGTCTGAGTATGTTATATCATGCTAGATCATGTCATGCCATAAGTTACATTCAATGCCCTAAACCGCAAGTAACTCTAAACCCCTAAACCCTAAACTCCGAGACCCCTTAAACCGTTACACCCCTCCCACACCCCTAAACCTAAACCCCCTAAACCCTAAGCCCTAAACCCTAAACCCTAAACCTAAACCCTAAAACCCAAACCCCTAAACCCGAGACTTGGGGGCTCCAGATGCGCTGTAAAGCCGAGGACCCCCGAGGCTAAGGGCCAGGGGCGACTTCGGTTTTAGGGTTCTTTTGGGGGGTGGTTGGGGTTGAGGGTTATTTTTAGGGTTTAGGGTTCTTTGGGTTTTAGGGTTTAGGGTTATTTGGGGTTTTAGGGTTTAGGGTTATTTGGGGTTTTAGGGTTTTAGGGTGGGGTTATGAGATTTAGGGTTTAGGGTTTAGGGATTTGGGGTTTAGGGTTTAGGGTTATTTGTTATTTGGGGTTTCGGGTGGACGACGATCGACACGATTATCGTATGACTTGTTGGTGATGGGGGGCTGTTAGCAGCACTGTTAGGCAAATGAAGGCCGCAAGCACGTTGATGATGGTGCTGATGCTGATGCTGGCGATGTCGCGATGCTGGTGATGGTGAGCTCTCCTTTCGGCGGTAGATACTTTCATCAACACTAGTACTGCACGTGCGACTGCCACTATTCGGCCAGCGTGGAAACTTGACACCGCAAAAAAGCAGTCCAAGCTTACTCAAGGAGCATGTCTCAGGCTCCCAAAGTCACACCATGGGTCATAAAATGCACGACTCTGATACCTAAGCTCAGCGGGGTAAGGGCGAGGGAGGTAGGGGGCTGTACTTCCTTCCCTGCCCCAAAGCGTGTTTCTAGGAAATCAGCTGTTCTGCCTGCAGTGCCCCCTTTGAGGGTTGTGCAAGTGATGCTGACAGGATCTAGGGCTTCTTTGGGTCTTGGTTTAGCATCGCCTAAAGCCGGTGTGGGTTGCACTTTGACTCTAGGGCTGGCGAGAGCTTCCAGTCACACATGGAAGTTTCCGAAAATAAGGGGGTACCCTAATTTGGGTCCTTTATAATAAGGATCCTACTATTTAGGGTACTATATTTGGGTCCCCTATTTTCGGAAACCCCCACAGCAAAGCGGGCATAAGAGTCGACACACAGAGGGCCTGGGCCTACCAGCAGCTGTCAGGTATGTACCGAATTATATCCTGAGCCCTAAACTCCTCTTTGAGACGAACACCCCTGCAACCAAAAATGCCCACGAAGGCACTGCGACCAAAGGCTCGATGATTTCAGGAGAATATTGCGTCGCCCGCCAGACCTCGAACATCAAAGCTTGTCTTCAAACCGCGTTTTGGGTTTACAGACCTGCAGTCGAACCACACGCTGCAGAAGTGGGCGAAGAACTTGGGCTGTGATGCCCTGTTAACTCAGTTGAGTTTTTTTTTGAAATGCGGCGTTGCCCCAAACCGATAAGTCTAAGCCAAAGTGACCTTAAACCTCAAGCCCTGTAAGCCTGAAGGTGCTGCCGGTCTAAAGCCGCAAAAAGGCCTGAGCCTCACCTTCCGCCTTGCTGATTCGCTCTGCCTGCTGCTCCTAGGTATGGTTTGCGGAAAGTTTGGATACTGCAGCTATTTTTTGTTAAGTTATGGGTCCTTATTTCTGACTGGGGATCCGATAAGCTAGGACCTGGGATCCATATTTCTTGTCCCGATTTTTGGAAAACTCTCCGGCGATTTCACTGTGAAAAGATTCCTTCCCGAAGGTATAGCCTGGGAATCTTTGCAGATAAGCCTCGCCTCAAGCTCAGCTTTTGCAATGGCAGTTGCTTGACATGGGCTTAATGTAGAAGCCTGAATAACTAGAAACTGGTACACATTTTCCCCTGTCTTATTTATTATATTCATGGTCTAAAATGCCCCAAAACCCTAAGGCTCAATACGGTACATGCATTATTGCATGGTAGAGGCCTGCCTATGCAACCTTGGGTGTCTCTATGTTGTAGCGTGTAACCTCGCAATGACTGTCATGCGTGGAAGCCTTCGACCACCCTCCCGTGCTATGATTTGTCCTGTGCTCAAGACATCGTAGAAAGAGACGGTCTTTATCTAAGAGGACTTTCATGCGCGGTTGCAGAAGATGGTTTTTGCAGTTTGCCCAGCCCCGCAGCACAGTCCAGAGTTTAGGATTCTGGCCAGTTGTTGTCTTGGTGGCCCTAGCTGAATTCCCACCATCATGGTTTCCCCTAGCCTCCGGGTCTCCGGGCGCCTGGAGGCCCCCCTTGTTGTTTTTGCGGCCTTTTTCATGCCATGGGTCCCGAAGAGGAGCTCGCCATGCGCCAGGCCGTGCAGGAGGCCTCTGCATTCTGGGCATCTCAGCTCCAGGAAGTCCTGAAGCAGGCCACTCGACGGCACTCTAGAAAGTTTATTTTGTGTCGGCTTATTGGCTTATTGTAGATCATATTCTGATATACTACAGAACAGCACCTCCTGAATGCCTTTGGGGCCCTTGCGTTGCTGCCCAGGCGGTTGGCGATGCCTTGCGCGAAGCTTTGCCGACGGAGCTGCGCAAGGCCCTGTCACCAGAGCTGGCTACGCTGAGTGAGGAGTTGCGGACCCAGATCTCTTCGCGTTCGCCTCAGCCTCCCTCGCCTTCAGGCACACAGAAACCGGAAAACCTCCAGAACATCACAAGCTTGCGTCGGCGCAGCTCCATGCTTCCTTCTGCCAAGCTCATCGCCGCCATGCAGCCGAAGGGAAAAGGGCCAGGGATGCCGAAGGTACGGACGGGATCCGCGTCGAACGTCGACCTCTTAGACGTGGAGCAGACTCGGTCCGTGCCGATGAGACATTCCCGAACAGAATCAATCCCCCGGGCCAAGGTGGAGAGTATTCTTGCGGGACGCTTGAAGTCCACTGAAGAAAACACCGAGCCTTCGCCGGCCCTACGCTCCACAAGTCCTGTGCCCCTAGAGCCCAGTCACCACTCAGCACCTCTTCTGGAGCAAGCCAGCGAAGACTTCATGCGGATCGAGTATAGAAGCGGAAGCGGACTTGATGTGAGCGAAAGGTCCAAAGAAGAGGAAGAGGAGGAGCAGGAGGAGAGCGTAGACAGCTTGGCGATGGAACCAGGCCAACCCGGGACACTTCGGAAGCATAGTATGTCGATCCTTCCAGATTTCCTGGACACACCACGGGTGCAGGAGCAGGGCACGCCACGGAAAAACTGGAGGCAGACTCTCCGAAACTCGGCCCTTCAGAAGTACCGCGTTTCATTCTTCTTTATGTCGGGGGAGAGTGTGCTCCTAAAACTCCAAGCCTGGAGCCCTATAACCCTAAACTCAAAAAGCCCTGTACCCTGAACCTAAACCCAAAAAGCCCTAAACTCTAAACCCCAGATGACAAAAAGCCGAGGAAACCTCATCCTGCCCTTCAAGGTGCCTGTTCAGGAGCAGCCTCCTCGCGAGGCTAGCAAGGTGAGGGGGCTTCTTCTCAAGAAGCATGACACCTGGGTGGCACTTTGGGGAGCTGTTTGGGGGGTTAGGGTGTAGGGTAGCTGGGAATTTGGGAAGCTGTTTAGGGCTTAGGGTTTAGGGTAGGTGGGAATTTGGGAAGCTGTTTTTGTGATTTGGCCTTAGACGTAGGTACCAGTACCTATTCCGGTGGCACTTTGGGACCCTAAGCCCCCAAACTTCTAAACCCTATAAACCCGCGTGTGGTCCGCTATATAGTCCTTATTGTACTTGTTCTACCGGCGGGGATCCCCGACAAAAGCGAAAGACCGAACCAGAAACAAGCCACTATGACCAGAAAGTCGCGACCAATGTCACATGCGAACGGGTCTGAGTTGTTTGCATGGGAAAACACAGGTCGCAACTACTTGCCCTCTGTGTTTTTCCAGCATTTACGCCATGTTATCGACGAGCACTGCGACCAGGACGACCAGGACGACAACGACCGGGACCAGGAGACCACGAAGAGACTAGCAAGAAAGAGAGCACCAGACTGCCAGGCACTGCCAGGAGCCATCAGAAGACCCCAGAGCAGGAGACCAGCAGGACGCCTGCCAAAATGTGTTCCCCAAAGGACTGGCAGAGAACCACGCAGCGAATTCTTTCCCCGGATTCAGAAACCTAAACCCTAAACCCGAAACCCAAAGTACTACTGGCGCGATTCAGAAACATTCAGAGCACACCGGGCTCGCTTTCCCGGAAGTGCTGACGGCTCCGGGGCCGGCGCGAGAGGGCCCTTCCCGTTGTCCTCTTCCCCCTCTTAGCTTGCGTCATCCACAACACTCGCACTCGCTTCCCCTAGTACTGCAGTGATTGAAGTGAATTCAGCGTCAAAAACTGGTCCATGTATTTAGGATTCACAATGGATCGGGCTCACCGGGGCAAGAACACTGTAGTGTTCCCACATCGTTTGGGGAAACGTGGTGTATAATATATATATATATACACATATATATATATATACATATACATATTAATATACATATATATATATACACATATATATATATATATGAACCCATATATAAAGGACGCTCAGATGAACCTTATTTAAGGGGGCTCTGATGGTGCCACCCAGGATGTGGAGATGAAGGGAAGGCCCGGACGACGTGGTGCGGTCGTCCTCTGTGAGGCGGATGTCGTGCGGGTTCGGCATCTGGGCATTTAAAGAAGTTGTGGCTAGCAACAGTCCCATAGGGTCCTATGTACCTATGTAGTAGAATGTAAGGTTTCTATATTAGGAATTACTATTATGATTTGGGGAAGTATCCCCCATAACAGTAGTGTGAGCTCGTGATTAGTACTGGTCCCCTCAATTGAGCCACACCCGGCCTGCGCACAATCGTGGAAAGGTCCCCGCAATTGAGCTAAACCCGGCCTGCACACAATAATACTCCCTCAATAATCCTAACTTCCCGTCCCGCTTTTAAATCTTTCAGCTTTTGGGAATAGACACTGCTACTACAAACTGACGCCCGGGAAGAGGACAGACAGAGACAGACAAGATGGAAGAGACACAGAGAGGAGAGATAGCCAGCCAGCCAAATTTAAGGCTTATGATTTAGGGGTTTAGGGGCTCCCTGTCCTGTCGCGAGAGGGACCTTGCATCGTCTGAGAGCTTCCTTCCGCATGAGGTAGGGGAAGAGGTACTCGTGGTCGCAGGAGAAGCAACCTGTCTGCCATCTGCATCGAGAGCACCCCTTTAATCCGAGATGAAGATGCCGGATCTCTGCCACAACCTCTTTGGAGAGGTCGGTGTGCCTGAAGTGCATAGACTTCTCCTGCAGAGCCTTCGTGGCCGCAGCTTTTGCAGGGGCCTTCAGCTTCGTGGAGGTCGCGAGAGTCTTTGCCTCCTGCTTCGCCCTTTCCTCCCAGGGCTTCTTCATCTCCTGGCAACAGAGCTTAATTATCTAAGCAATCCAAATCCTAATCCCTAAACCCTTAATTAAGCCTTAGGCCCAAAACCCCTACCCTTCCTTCCCCCGGGTCTCTTGTTGGAGACTCTTCTCGAGAGGGGGCCTGCCAAGCCTTAGCGAGGTCAGCCGGCCACATTCGGGAGAGGCCTGCAACGATCGATTACATCCGAGAGAGGGCGAAGAACCCGTACTCGCACTCGAGTCGAACAGCATGGTTCACAGGGTCGAGAGCAGGGTCGAGTACCCCCGGTACAGCAGCCAAACCCATAGCCTTCTTCAAAGAGCGGTTCACCAGCCTCTGTAAGTGAGAGACCACGGCTCATCTGGAGAGGCCCTCTCCCCTTCCAAGAACGTCCAGTGGTTGGGGCTTACGGACCAGATGGGGCAGAGCAGGAGCCGACCTGCTGCAGAGCCTTGCATGGCCAGTCAGCGGCACTGCTCACCTCTTCGAGCTGGAAGAGGAGAGCGGATTCGAGGAAACAGAGTTGCTTGTACTGCTCTGGCCATGGCCAGTTCCAGCAGAGGAGCTCCCAGCCCCAGTGAATGTGCTGCTCGTCCAGCTGCACAGAGAAGGTTGTCGGCACCTTCACCAAAACGTGCTGGATGGCTTTGTCCTCCAGAGGCAAGCCCCGGTGACCTTGAAAATGCCTTGCAGACAAGCCTTTCCAGGCCTTTGGCTTGGTCTTAAACCTTAAGCCCTGAACCCTAAGTAAAAAAAAACAACTAAATCTTAATGAACCCCGAGAGAAAAAGACTGGTAAATAGTTAGAGAGAAGAGACACCCGTGAGAATCAATCTCGAGTGCCCCTGCGACCTCCGCAAATACCCCAATGAGTCGAGGTATCTGCAGTAGCTCATGAGGCAGTGAACGATGGACCTGCGCGAGAGGACAATTAGCATTTAATTGTGGTTTATTCAGAGGCTTAAGTTATACTTAGTTCATTTAACCAATCCCGACAAGGGTTCATTGAATGCTTCACGAGAGCCGTGGCCCGCGTCGCACGGGCACCAAGGTAGTGGCGAAGGATCTAAACCTGTAATACAACCTTAAATCCTGAACCCCCGGGCCCCTCCTCCTCGAATCCGCTGAGAGAGTGGGCCATGGCCTTGGGCATAGAGTGTAAACAGCTTCCAAGACAGATGTAATAAGTTTCACAGTGTTCCAACGAAGAAGAGAGATGATGCTGGATGATTGCTCAAGTCACGAGCGGGTTACTACTGTACTATTATAATACCGTAATTGATTACTACTGCTGTGCTACTACTGTACTACGACTGTACTACTATTGTACTACTACTGTAGTACTATGGTACTGCTGCTGTACTCCGGCACTATTGCTGTACTAGTGACCTTCCAACAACTTAGACCCCACCCCCCCCCCAAAAAAAAAAAACTATCCAGAGGCGGAAAAAGCCCGACCATTGATCCGGATTCAGGATGATGAGGGAGGGGTTATCAATCAGGGGAGACAACATTACATAGGACTCTTTGGGAGTATCTAGCAGAAACTCGACCGTAACACCCGGCACGTTCAGGATTGAATTTCGGGCGGGCAAGGGTGGTCTGCGCAGTGCTGCACTGGCTGTGACTGGTCTTATGGAACACCTCAAACTCAAGGCAGAAACAAGGGAAACGGTGCAGCAGGACTGAACGAATACCGGGACGTGTTTCGTGTTTAGAAGAGATTCCACAGACATGCCCCGACGTGGCTGAAACTGAGTGCCTGGGTAAGCCTGCAGACGGAGTGGTAGACAGCAGGCTTTGGGGCTTAGGACGATGAGGGGCTTGACTGGTAGAAAGAGTTCCTAAGCTGGGCGTTTGTTGTTTTAAGGAAGGAGTCACAAAGATTCTGGTAGGGTTGGGTAATCTTCAAGATGTTAGTAGAGTTTTCTAAGGGATTCCGAAGTTCAGTCGTCATAACAGACACATCAAAGTTAAAAGCACTCGACAAGATCTCAAGGCACAAACGGTTCCCATTCTGTCAGTGGTCCTGGCCCTTCGCTGATCCGGGGGGTCGGCCGAGACAGTACTGGGAAATCTTCGCCTGCACCGTGCTATTGTTGCAGCTTCTGTACCTCGGCTCTTCTGCGGGCTTCAGGGTTTCGGATTTGGGGTTGCGGGCTTGGGGTTATAAGATTTCGGGTCTATGGTTAAGGGTTGCGAAGGTTTAGGCTATTGGGTCTGGAGTTTTTTTCAGGTAAATGACATGTTGCATTTTGTGGCATTTAAGACGACTAACACGTTCCTTTTTGCAACAAGAAGAACTAACTGCCCAGGTACCTCTGCTTCCAGGCTGGCTTCATTACCTTTGAAGACTACCGGGCCCAAGGTCACTGGGAGCTCAAGGTGAGCTTGCTTGCTGTGGACATCTTTTGGGTCATCGATCTGGGGATCAACTTTACCACCGGCTACCGAGATGTCACGCATGTCCTCCACAGCAGTGCCCGCTCCAATGCCCGGCGCTACCTCCGGCACCCCGGCGACATGTGAATTAGGGACACTAAGAGTAGAAACCTGGACCCTATAAAACTTTAAAGCCTGATCAAACCCTGCAGAAGCCTTCACAGAACCCGTACAAACCCTGTAATGCCCTATCTCATGTGGACTCCAGAGCCCACAGCCAGAATGTGGAAGCAATGCTTAGCAATGTTATTCTTTAGACTTCCCATACGTAGTACAGAACATCGTAAGCCCCAGTCTGAGACTTGTGTAAACCCCAAACCGTGAAAGTACTCGAAACCATCCTAAACCCTAAACCCCTAAACTCGAAAGAACTGAAAAACCCTTAAACCGTTAGGCCCAAAACCCGATCAGCCCCAAACAAACCCTAAACTATAAAGCATCCTAAATCACATAAAGCCTGGTGAGGGGCGGCTTCGCCTTAGACCTGCTCGCCACCCTGCCCTCGCTTTTCCTGCACGTGCTCCCGGGCTTCAGGTTTAGGGCTTAGGGTTCAAGATCTAGGGTTTAGGGTCTAGGGTTTAAAGTTTAGGGTTTAGGGTTTTGCATGGTTTAGGGTTTAGGGTGTCTGGAGTAGCACGCAAGTGAGGGTACCACGATCAGGGTTCTGTAGAGTTTATGAAGATCTTGCCACAAACAAGGTATTCACAGTGATTCAGCGATCTCAGCTGTCAGTCTTGAGTGAGGGTTCAGTGTCTCAAATCCGAAGCCCCAACTCTGAGGAACAGAACTGTAAGTTTTACCAGGCTAAAGGTTGGGGTGGGGTTTCCAGGAACTGAACAGCAAATCTTTCCCCAAGAAGGGTTCTTTCATAGTTTTGAGGGCCATTGTCTCTCCATGATAAGGGTTGCTAGAGTGCTTCGGACTGTTTTTTCAAGTCCATGGCTAATATAGAAGCTTCAATACTTACCAATCTGATTCCTTAGGGCTCCTCATTAAAATAGACTATAAAGGAGCCCAAAACCCTATTCTGACCATTATGGCCTCTACATCAAAACCCTTACAGGCCCCTTGTAGGTAAGCCTAAAAGTAACCCTTTAAAGGAATCCTATTCTAATTATTA